AGACCTGGGCAACACTGGGTCCTTTTCAGGAGGGTGCAGCCCTGGCAGTCGGGAAGTACCTTCATTGTACCTGCGCATGGAGATAAGCGGTGTGCGGGCCTGGAGTTAGCAGAAGCCTTGTGGATCTGACTGTGCCCTTGTGCTTCTGTTTTTCTGGTCGTGACAAAGGTATTTTGTGAGCATGCCACCTGCATGTAAGCACATGCATACATGAGCGCTCTTTGTCCTAGCGTTTCCATCCATTCGAACAATACCGCATGATCTTACTCCTCTGTGAAATCTAAAAGGTGATTGCACTGAGGTAGAGAATGCTATGAAGGTCACCAGGGACTGGGGTGGCTGGGAGGAGAGGAGGAAGGGAAGAAGCGCGTCAGAGCATTTGTAATTGTAATCAGATTCGGTAGGAAGAACAAGTTGTACAGCAAAATGACTGTAGTCAATGACAACGTATGGTATTCTTGAAAGAGGCAAAGAGTGGATGTTAGGTGTTTTCACCACAAAAATGATAACTATGTAAGGTAAGACACTGTTAATTAGCAAGATTTCCCTACTCTATGTTATATACATACTTCAAAACCTCAGGCTGTGAGTAATACATGTGTACAGTTTTTTATCAATTAAAACTAATTGACTACTTAATATAATCGAGAGTTGATTCTCTGTCCATTTTTCTTCATCAAAGCCAGAACATGAAGAAAAACAAAAATAATTTTGTTCTTCTCTCTCATGGAGCTTATATTTTCATGGAGGGGCAGATCTTTCTCCAATGACTACATCAGCATCTGTGAGTTCAAATTGCAATAAATATTACAAAGAGAGCCTTGGAGTCTGGCAAAATGCAAGCTGTAAGAAGAGATGGTCGAATCAATAAATCCTTTGCTAGTAAGAAGCAGGGATAACTAAAATTTATCACCATGAATGTTTCCTTGTGCTACGTTTCCAGCTGTGTTCTTGAAGCTCACCAAGCGGAGAATGGACATAGGTCAGTCTCAGCCCCCTGTGCTATGTAAGGCTCTTGCTGGCCACTTTCTGCTACGGTGTCTGGGCATTTCTCACATGCAGAGAGAAAGGCTGGCCATTCCGACTGAATTTTCCAGATTATTGATTTGTGCTCTTTTGGATGCCAACCGAGCTCAGGCTGAGTCTTCCAAGACCGTGGGCAGCAGGGATGGTGGGCTCACAGAGGGGGCTTGGACACAGCCAGGCCATATGACCCACACGTACTGTACCTCCCTCCCCTGTATCACACAACCGGAAGTCCTGCCCAGCTCCCATCCTGTGGACTGGGCATAGCAAGCCTCTTTATGTGCCGTGTGTGGAGACTGAAATAAAGCTGCCATTGACCACCTTGCAGTGGATGTGGTGGCTTTGATTCCAGGTGTGCCAGGTAATAGAGTTTAGACTCACATTTTTGCTTTACAATCAGTTTATGTCCTTCAGTGACATTTTCATGACTTCTGTGTGTCTGTTTGGAGATTTTTTCTCCTCTGCATAAATACATGGGATGTTATTTGTTATGCACTCCATGTTTATTTTTTAAAACTTGGGTCATTAACTCCACATCCCTTGTTTTAGCAAATGACCTTCAAGTACAAAATGAGGTGAGGGCTGTTATTTTTATAAGAAGAAAGGAAAGCTTTGTGAAAGACCGTGCAGGGTAAATTTTGCAGTATCTGCTTCTGTTTCTCCATTGTTCACAGGGAAACTACTTGTCTGATCTCAAAGCAATGGCTGTTTCATACTCTGAAGGAGCTTGGGCAGCAAATACGAAGGCTGAGATAACATTGGCAATAGTCAAAAGAGGGGAAGACCCTCTGGTAAAAAAAAACCCCACAGTTTTCTTTGTATATTTTTTGAGTTTGGGGGTCTGGCAATGCTTAGGGACTTTTCCTGCACTGCACAATGCCTTCGGATGATTTCGTGACACCCACAGCATGGTTCACAACTTGCTCAGCTGATCTTTTGAGCATTCTAAAACTGAGCTTAGATGTCAGGACTCTGTTTTCTCACCTCCTTAAGTTGGACATAAATATTTCACCAGCTGGGAAGATTCTCATTTTCTCATTCACATGGAGTTGGTGGTGTTGTTGTGAGTTTTACTTCCTTTTTCCAAGTGAAGGGTCATGCCACCCTTAAACCCACTTAATCAGTACCACCCCCATCTCACAGCTTCTGGGAAGGCTCCTGGACCTTTCTGATATGTTCAGGAAATGGTCCCCTCCTCGTTCACTAGGCCCTGAAGTAGGAGGGCCCAACAGACAAGCACGTCTCCAGAGAGCGGAACAACCGTGTTCTCCTTTGTTCTCTGGAGCAACTGCAGTAGGCTACAGTGTAGCTGCTGCTTTGGGATGAAATTTAACAGGGTGGTTTCACCTCCCGTCTCACATTCACACCTGTCCCACATGAATAGAATTTTAAAATTTAAACTACAATTGTCTTCCATGTTTTTTTTTTTTTGTGTGTGTGTTTTAACAATTTAATACATTCAAGAATATTTACTAGGACAAAATGACAGAGTATCATCGGTCAGTCAGTAGAAGCCTAAGATAGAAAAAGAAAGGTAAACTGGCCCTTTTGCAGTAAAGCTTGTGCTTAAAGAGAAGAGGCAAAATGACTTCCTGGAGCCTACAAAGCAGGTACCCACCTTTAAACACACACGACCTTATAGTTGTACCCAGAGCCAACAGTGTTGTAAGGGTCCTATCAAAAAAGGTAAAAAGTAATGCTCTGGAGCCCTGGCACCTGCAGACCCTTGTGCAAACATGGGCAGTCTGACCCTCACTGGGGCCAGGATGGCCCTTCCCAAGCCCACCTCTGTCTCTGCCACCACTCCCAGGCTTGATGCTGGGCCCTCAGTGTCCAGAAGAAACGTGCCATCCAAGTGACACAGGTCACTGGTAACCACCACCTACTTTCAGAAGATTCTGGAATTCCCCATCCCAGCACGAGCTGCTGCAGCTGGTCTCACATGGCCAGCAAGGGACAAAAATGTCAACTGCAGTCTCAGAGAAATCTTCTTAGTCACATAACAGCCCCCCCCATGATATAATAAATAAACAAACACATGACCAGACACCCTGGATTCAGACAGTGGACAGGCAAATGAAAGCAGAGGCAGGAACTCAGAGAAATTAAGTGGAGAGAGATACTGGGAATGATGATTTGAACACGAGCAGTCACTCATGCTGACAGTTAACAGTCAACAGAGTAACAGGAACCAGAACAGAACGCGGCCGGGGAGGACCAGGCCAGGTATCCGTGACAGTTGGCATCTGGGGTGTCTTCTGGTGTGCTCTGAGGTTGATGCTGCCTCTTTTAGTTGCAAATGGTCATTTCACCAAGGCCTCAGGAGGAGCAGCAGCCTGTACTGACAGGTTAGGACATTTAGGCAGGGCGGATGGACAGCACCAGCCACCTGGTGATGGCACACTGCAGGGCATAGACATGCAGAGCCCTCTTAACAGTCACTTCCTTCTCTAGGATCCAAATGCGTGTCAATCTCCTGGTAAAAAACATCATGCTTGAATGCTGCCCCTGAGTCCATGATGGGACTGGATGGACCTCTTGGGAGCCAGCTCCTTGCATCCGGTCAGTGGGGCTACAACTCAGCTTCACTGGTGGCCAGTCTTCCTCATGATGCCTTTCAGGTGCCGGTTATAATCCAGAAGGTTTTGACAACGTTCAACCAACAGCTACCGTGTTAGGCACACATGACATGTGGGCTCCTTGCTCCCAAAGAGCTTTGAGTCCTAGCCTGAAAGTCATCACAGATCACCTCTGAGTAAGGCTTTGGCTCAGACAGCAAAGAACCGGCACCTGGGCAGGGCGGGCCTGGCCCTCTGAATCCCTGCTGACACCTGCCCTGGTGAGGAGGCACGGGCAGCCCTGACAAGGGGAGGTAAGGCACTTTCATACATTCTGTTCTAAAGGAGTACATCTCAGTGACTCTGCAGGGACTTTAACTCATACCATGGGCTCCCTAAACATGTCCCTCTTCTCAGCTACTTCCTACCTCATTCCCTGCTCTGGCTTTATCATGTCTAAATTCTGTGTTTTATTTCTACGATTAGAAGAATTTTTTTTTTGAGACAGGCTCACTATGTAGCCCAGGCTGGCCTTGAATTCACTATTTATGCTCCAGGTTGGCCTCCAACTCACGGTGATCTTCCTGCCTCAGCCTCCCAAGTTCTGTGATTACAGGTGTGTGCCACCATGCCTGGCTTAAAACAATTTAACTTTGGTACTAACAGAATAGGAACTATTTTCCACAATATTGCTCATAATAAATCAAAAATCTTAATTAGAACTCCTTTTGATCAGTCCCTCTTCTCAGAAGCCTCAAGCCAGGGGTGGGGCTGGAGGCAGGCGGCCGAGCACCAGGCAAGGATCCTGCCTGCTTCCTGCCAACAGGAGTCCAGCCATAGTGTGGACTCAGCCAGCTGCAGGCTATGAGGTGGAACCACCTGCACTGTGCTTCTATACACTTTTCTTAACTATTTCAAAACTCCTACACGGTGGTGACCAGGGCGGCTCTGTCACATGGAGGGGATGACTTTCCCAATTTTGCAGTGACACACTCCTAGAAACAGACCCATGTGAAGGGCAAGGCTGGCTCTGCCCCAGCACTAGGGAGCAGACACTTGCCAGGTACCCACTTTCCCCCCGGTGCTCACCAGCAAAGGGACCCATGAGGGTTAACAGTCAAGAAGTGCTGTAGCTGAAGCTTTCACCAACCTCTAGGAATCCCCTATAATCCAATACTTTTCCCAAAGTTTAGCTGGATAAGAGCCTTTTGTTTTTACATCCTGGGCACGAATGGAGCTCAATCCGTCTTCAGAAGGAAACCAGCCTGCATGCTGCGTGCTGTGCTCACGTGCACTGGGTGGACAGGCCATGTGGAGGAGCCCTGGTGTGCATCACAGGCCACAGGCCACAGGCCCAAGATCTTCCTATGCAGAGTCCCAGGCTGATGCTCCCAGGCTGAGGCTCACACTCTGCAGGACAGCCCAGAGTTGCCAAAAGCTTGAGGGGTGCATAGCTAAGGGTATTGGTGTCACTTGGTTACTGCCGAGGGCCCCAGCCAGCGGCAGCTCCGCCTGGTGTGCTCAAGTTTCAAAGTACTTGTAGATTGCCGTCACATACAGCATCACATTTTGCCAGTCTGGCCGTTCGGTGCGTACCATCTCATTAATGTCCAGTGTGGATTTGATGCCAACACTTTCAGCTGCCTGGAAGGCCAGTGTGAAGTTCCTTTTCTTATCTTGGCTATTCAGTTCTTGGTATGGAATGTGGGCTGGAAGATATGTATGCAGGAGTGCGCAGAAGGCCAGCCCATCATTCCAGCTGCTGCTGAAGTTTGTGATGTCAATATTCTGATAGCCTTCCATTTTTTTCTGGCACCACTTCAACAAGGCATTCCTCTTCGATCCTCCATATTCTCTTGCCAATGCTGAGAGAGGGTCTTTCCTTTCTTCTCTTATGCGGCTTCGAGTGGTTGGGGTCACAGATGCTGTGGGAGAGGAGGACAGGGACAGCTGTGGTGATGTGGTTCCCATAGCCATAAGAGAGGCTGGCGATGCTCCATCAGGTGCAGAGATGTCCCGTTTCATTTCCTCACTACTTCGTCGAGACACTGAGATGGTCTTGGCACTTTCCATAGCAGGTACTCTTGGGAGAGAAGCAGGTCGGCTAGTTGACGATGTTCTTAACAGATGTTCTTGAACTGGGATCTCTCCATAGTTTGGTCTCTTATCTGACAAGGATGTGAGGGGCTTGGATGTTGAGATCGGTCCACTTATGGAATGTCTCTGCATGGGAGATACAGCTGCCGCAGGAGGGGTTTTCATAGGACTCGGACTCAGAGGTGTTCGAGGAATTGCAGCTGCAGCAGGGTTTGGTACTTGAGATGCACTGTCAAAGGATTTGATGAGGGTCTTTACTGTAGGAGTTGGCTCTGAGGAAGTCGAGGACCTTCTACTTAGTCCCATCCCTTGCCTTAAGGCTGCCAAATCTCTCTCAACAGCATTCATGTAGTTGTATACTCGACCTCGCTCCTCCTCTTGCTTGCGTGATTTTATTTCCTCCAACTCTTTTGTGAGTTTCTCATTTTTTTCTTGAGCTTCATGTAACCGGCGCTTCAGATCGCCAATCTCCTCCTGGGCTTCAGATTTAATGTCATTTGCGATGACTGCCGCAGTCTGTAGATCAGCTTGAAACTGCCGCCATTCTGCAGATTCTTCCCGAAGTCTCCTGTGAAGTGTCTTGATTTCTCTTTCCATGTCATGTTTTTGGTCCTGGAGTTTTTTAACTGTATTCTCTAAATCAGAAATAATGAGGTTGTCATGAAGTTTCACAGCTCTAAGAGAGGGGGAGAGAGGGAAGGGGGAGAGAAAGAGAGAGGGGAGGGGAGGGAGAAACATTCAGACGTATACCTTGAACTGGGATCTCTCCATAGTTTGGTCTCTTATCTGACAAGGATGTGAGGGGCTTGGATGTTGAGATCGGTCCACTTATGGAATGTCTCTGAAAACAAAAAAACAATATCAAAGTTAAGTTAAACTTAGTGCTGAGATTCACAGAGAAAGTAACCGTTACAAAGAGTAAATGTTTAGCTAAATTTGCATAATTTCTTCCATATTGCAACAGTAAGGTTATAATATACACTAGAGGAATATAATGAGATCAACAATTTTTTTTTTTTTTTTTTTTTTTGGTACTGGGGATCAAACTTGGGCCCTTGCGCTTGTGAAGTAGGCGGTGGAACCACTGAGCCAAATCCCTAGCCCTCAACAGATGTTTTTAAACATTAAATTTCTTAAATGAGCTAATTAAAGATTCACATGCAACTGTAAGAAATAATAAGGAGACTGGTGTATCCTTCACTCAGTTTCCCACAGTGGTAACATCTTGTAAACCTACAGCAGAATATCACAAACAGGATATTGGCAACACTTCTGTCACTAAAAGGATCCTTTCTGCAGCTCTTTTACAGTCATACTATCTTTCCCTTCCAGACCCCATACCACTGACCCCTGACAACCACTGGTTTTCTAATCATGATTTCATTATTGTTTAAAGGTAATTTTTAAAATATCAGAAGTCAATTCACTTAATACAAGATCCAAAAGGAAATGAAGATTGTAGTTTTATTAGTCATTCATGCCTTGATTCCAAATAGATTTCAATTCTATTACCCATTTGCTAAATCTGTAACTGCCTCAGTACAATATATCATTTTAAATTAGCACGACTGCCTACAGCTTTGTTACTGGCTTCCTAAATCTCCACTTATGCATATAGAAGCGGCCTGAAATATCCACTGCAAATACTTAAGACTTGTAAAACATTTAATACTTTATATATACTTTTCCTTATGCTAAATTCTAGCTTTTTTTGTTAAATCTAGCTGTCTTCTAGCTACTCATTTCACACTCCCAGTAGAAATGTGCAATAGGTTCAGCTTTTCTACATCTTTACCACACTTGGTATTGTTAGCCTTTTTAATTTTGGCCATTCTCAAGGGAGGAGATTAAGAGCTCACTGTGATTTAATTTCCATTTCCCTGATGACTATTTATGTTGAGCATCTTTTCAAACGCTTACTGGTCATGTGTGTATCTTCTCTTAAGAAGGGTTTTTCAATTCTTTTTTTGAGAGATAGGGGCAGTACTGAGGATTGAACCCAAGGCCTTCACACTGAGCTACATTCCCAGGACTCCTTTAAAATTTTTTTCTATTTTAAAACAGGGTTTCAATCAGTTACAACCATCAATGTCAATGGCCTCAATTCACCAATCAAGAGAAATAGACTGGAAAAATGGATTAAGAAGCAAAATCCAACAATATGTTGTATATAAGAAACACACCTAGTGCAAAAAGAAGCCGAGACTGCAATAATACATAAGATCCTAATAAGATTACTGACATTTAGAAATGGGAAGAAAGGAGCTAAAGGTGTAGGGAAGGTGGGATGGGTAGGGGAAGGGTAATAAGGGAAAAGAAAAAAATGTGAGATAATGAAAAGATGAAAATAAAGTGTTTGTAGATGGGGAGGGGAGTATTCTTTCTGTTAAGCAAGCAACAGACACTTCACTCGCATTCCCACTGCTCCCTTTACGAGAGCGCTCCATGCTTGGAATGCCCTCTGACTCTGAAGATGATGGTGCATCGAGGGCATCATCACTCGAGGTAAGAGGCTGATAAACCTCACTGCACTCACTGTCTAGGTTGTCCATAGAGTTACTGTGCTGATGGTCCATGAGTGTATTTTCATCCTGACTCAAGAGATCCTCCACTGACCCAGGTGCAGAGCCTTCCACTGAAGAAGTCAGAGTTCCTCCTCCATCACTTTGGCTACCGGGGGCAATTTCTGGGCTCAGGGACTGATAGCCAAACAGTTTTTCAGAATTGTCTAACCTCTGTTCTAGGGAAAAGCCCAGTGCATTCAACCTGTCCTTTAACATTCTGTTTTCATTTTTCAACTGGTTGAGTTCTTCACGGATGGCAGTATTTTGTTCTTGCAACTGCAATAAAGTAGACTCCACATCAGTTGGCTGGTGAGCAATAATGGTTTCCTTCTCCTCAGACTTTTCATCACCCTCAGAATGATCTTCATTAATGCCCAGTTGAGCACGCATGTCTCGGAGTTCATTTCTCAAATGTAAAATTTCCACATCTTTAGTTTTTGCCAGTGTGAGAAGATCTTTCACTTTAGCTTCTAAAGCAGCTTTGTCACTGATCTGATTGTCCGATTTAGACTTGCTCATGCGAACATCACATTCCATAGCAGTGCGACTGCGGGAACGTTTAGCCAATGCCACATCGTTAGCTCCCTGACCTGCAGAAGGTAGTTTTTTGCTCTGGTTTAGTCGGGTACGTTCACGTAGTCTTTCTCTAGTAGAACTGGATTCTTTGTTACCTGCAGAAGTGCTCCGCTTGGTTGAAGAAGTTGTGCACAGATTTCCAATCCATATGGGGCAACTAAATTATTCAGGGAAATGATAACTGATTCTTGAAGTCAGGTGGCGTGGGACAGCAGGGAACCACGTGGAAACAGTACAATTCCAAAGGCTGGAAACTGTGTTGATCTTGGGTTTGTTCTCCACAGTGGTCATGGCAGGGGCAGATGCTGAGGATGCTGCAGATGGGCAGGTACTTTTTTTTCCTTTAACACCATTAGTCACTGCTACCCCTCCAGCCATTCCAGCTAAAAGATCATCACTGCTCTTGGTCTTTGACAATAATGCTGAAGTTCCAGGTTTTACCAATTTTCCTCCTGTAGATGCTGAAGAGCTGTTTTCAGGCTTAATTTTCTCTACTGTTTGTGTTTTACTTGCCCCAGACACCTTAGGCACTGAGCCAACACTCCTGCTTGCTTTCTTCATTCTGGGCTGCCTCTTTATGATGCATTTACAATCAAATCGCGCAGCACCGCCTCACTCGTTCGCTCCGCTCTGGGGCCGAGCAGCGAAGCAGCCCGGTCGCTCGGCCTGGATCCGTTGACCTTCCATGTTTTATATGTACTTTGGCCTATTAGTCTTGTCTTCAATCTTTATACATGATAACTGACTTTATAAGATCTTATAAGATAAGTAAATTAATCTGATGCTGAAACAAATAAAAGGGGGGAAGGGAAAGGGGGAAAACAGAATTGAAATGTGTTATGTGCATGTAACAGTTTCCTGCAGTGAATATAATTATTATACACTCCAAATACGCACTAATAAACATTTTAAAAATGTAAAACTATTCTAAGTAGTCAAGTATTTGGGTGAACGTTGTGCTCCCTGCTTGCCTCATTCCCATTGCAGGCCTTTCTCATCAGCAGAATTTGCAATCTTTTGGGATTAGGTAGATTATTTCTGCTGGCTTTGGGAATCTAAGTCCTGGTTGTCAATAGGTGGGACAAAATTAGAAAAGCAACATGCCTGTTCTAGTGTAGAAAAAGCATCCACAGGGCTACACCTGCAGAAGAGTCTCCAGACCTGTCAGGTGTCACTACGAAAATACGTATGGAAGAGTGGCATTTCAAAAGCACTCACTGTTTGGATCCTGCGTGTGTGAGTGTGTGTGTGTGTGTGTGTGAGTGTGTGTGTATAAAAATGCTACAAAATCTTTATAACCTCGAAGATGTCACAAAGTCAGCATGAAAGAATGTCAGGAAAGCTGTGGCTGGGCGGGGAAGATGTGCACAGGGCCGGCCAGGCTCCCCGGGTTGCAGGAGAGAACTGTGCTGCCGCTGCTAATGTCGATCCGTTGCCCTTGCTGGCTGTGCTGTTGAAAGGGATCGTATCCTCCATCGAAACCAACGGATTTAGGGACGCTCTGTCTTGGTGCTGGGTATGCACCTGTTCAGGGCCCCAGCCCGTTTGCATTGCTTGCCAAGCCCAGTCTGAGCTGCCCTTTGCGGCAGGAAGTTTGTCAGACGGCCTTGGAGACGCTCCCAGGAGGGGCAGGAAGAAGGGTGAGCGGTGAGGTGTTGGGCCGGATCTCAGGGACACAGGACCATGAAAACATGGCAGCTAGAGGGACTGAGTGTCAAAACTAAGGACTGCAAGCCTGGGTGGTCTAGCCCTACTGAGGCTGTGTTCCCATCACCAGCACCGGGGAAACAAAACACAAAACGAAACAATGTTCAGTCTTGGGTGAAGCTGCCCCACTGTATCCTAAGGTGGACACTGCACCCGTCGTTTCCATCAACAGCGCATGAGGGTTTCTGCTGCCTACATCTTTTGCCTGCGGCTCTGGCATCTCCTCGTTTTAATTTGCCTTTGCTGCTGACTTGGTGTTGGTAATCTTTTTCACCATTTCCTTGTCTCTGGTGAGGGTTCTCCCAAGGCATTGTCCTTTTTGGATCAGGCCACTTGTTTTCTTGCCAAGTGCCATCTTTGCACTGCTTTTTGGGGTGAAGGGGAAGGGGCTTACAGTGGTGCTGCTCAGCATCAGGTTGCAGTGGTTGTCTTAAGGGGAAGCCGGAGGGTGCCAGGTTTCCTGCCAAAGTTCCTGTTTTTTGCTGAGGACATCATTTGCTTTAGGGGGGACCTTGATGAGACATTTGCATAATGGAATCATTTTCTCAAGAATGAATGAATTCCCATTGTTCCAGGAAAATAGCTGTTTTGGTCTCCGCTAATAACATTTGGATGTTCGGGTAAAATTTTGAATTTTGAAAAACTTCATCTTCCATGATAGACTTGAAAATTTCTTCCACTTTAAAAGATTTTCCTGATGGTGCTGATAGTGACATTGACAAATGTAATTACATCTCAACACGCAGAATTGGCATTCGAGGGAGTGTTCCAAATGACTAATGTGTGGCCTTACAAAATTACAATGAATAAAAGATGCATTCAAATCTTAAAATTAATGAATGGGTTTTAATGCCCTTAGTATAAGAAAAATTCATTGCTATGGCTTTAGGGTTCCCACTGCAACGAATCCTTAAGAAAAACGACTGCTTTTCAAATTCTAACATAATGTCAAGAAAACTACCAATGAGGTTGTTAAAGTCCCCCGTTGCCCAACTACAAGCCTTTGCTGAGCTAGATTTTCCTCATGTGCTGTGACCGACACAGTAGAGACAACAGATTTAATGCAGAAGCAGGTGTGAGAAATGAGCTGTCTTTGAATACACCGGACATTAAAGAGATCTGTAAAAAGTAGCACTACGCTCAGTTCTCACTACTTTATTGAAAGATACAGACATGTTTATACAAAACATTTCAGCTCTATTAATACACAGTGAATTTATTATTTTAATTAATTAACATTAAAAATTATCAGTTTTAATTTCTTATGTGGTAAATGTGATAGACACAATGCACAGAAATAGAGCCTGCTCTGGTCAATAGTTTTTAAGAGTGTAAAGGCGAGATGAGATAAGAAAAGTTTGAGTATAATTAGCCCAAATACCACTTTACCATCATTTAGTAAATTTTTATTTTCCTAGAGTTCAAACTGTTTTCTAATTTTCTTTTCAATTTTATCTTTATTTGGAAGTATGTAGTTTAACTTCCAAACATCTAGAGAGTCTGCAAGTATCTTTCTGGTTTTGATTTCCAATTCAATACCACTGTGGTCAGAAAGCAAACTCTGGTTTCAAGCCCTGTGAATTTATCGAGGCATCCTTTAGGACCTTCCACGTGGTCCAGCTTGGAGGCCCCTGTGCTCTGGTGAGAAGCTAGATTCTGCAGTTTTCTGTATGGAGATCTACAAGTCTTTGGGATTGACTCCTCTGTTTCTGTTCGGCACCCATCTTGATCTCTTGTAATACTCATTTTGTGTGTTTTTTTCTAAAATAACAGTCAGTTCTACTGGTCTTGATTGTTGGGGGATATAGCCTAGCAGTCTCTGCCGGTCAGCACAGTGTTTAATCTACCTACATGTACGCAATCGCCAGCATCATTTGATGATTAACTTTCTATCCCTTCTGTTCATTGTTCTTTTACTTTTTCTTCTCTTTGGGGGATTATGTGATTATTTGTAGCATTCCAATAACACCCTTCCCCCATTTTGTGGTACTGGGGATTGAACCCAAGGGCACTCTCATGGGGCTACATTCCTTGACCATTTTTATTTTTGAGATGAGGTCTCACTCACTACGTCATGAAGTTACACAGGTTGGGCTTGAACTTTCATTCTTCCTGCTTCAGCCTCCCCAGGCGCTGGGGCTACAGGTGTGTATTGCTGCGCCCAGCTCTGTGTTTTCTCTTTCCTTTTCCTTCCTTCCCTTCCTCCTCTCTCTTTCTCCCTTTCTTTTTCTCTCTTTCTTCTTTCACTTTCTCTTTCTTCCTTTGTCTGTCTCTGTGTCTCCGTCTCTATCTCTCTATGTCTATTTCTCCTGCTCTCTCTCTCTCTTTCCCCACCCCCTCTGCTTAATCAAAAGATCCAAACAAGTGTTAAAGCTGATTTGAGGAAAGACTGCCCTATATAGTAAAAGAAAAAACATGCTGAGATATTGCTAAAGTAGATGCAAAATTCCTTGTTCTGTAGTGCAATAAAATTTAACTTTTGGGGTCATCTCTCCCCCTGGATAAAAATAATTTCCTTTCGTAGTAGACAAAAATAATTTCCAACTTCGACCTTTAAAATGTTTACCAGTTCTCGACCCTAAACAACAGTAACTTGTAAGTCAAACAAAGCTTACAGATGCAGAGACTTGGGTAGCCCTATAGGGAGGAGCTCTTGTCCACTAGTGTGAGGTTGAAAGCAGGCAATTTGTATTTGTATCAGCACAGGTTTGCAGGACATGACTACAGTTATCGTGAGGAGCTGGTACCTGTACATGAAACATTTACATGCTTTCTTTTTTACTGTGCTTTTCCATCCTACCCATTCCTTCCCTCCCTGATTTTTCCAACTCTTGGTCCCCTTTCCATTTTTCAGAACCTCTATTTTTATAATTTTCCCCTTGATTCTTTTTTATTTTCTTTCTCCCTCTTTGCTCTTTACTCTCCACCTCTCCTTCCCCATCCATCGAAACAATATCAGCCTACTTCATATTTACCCATCTTCTATAGATTTTTCTCTCGTGGATATTAGCTAATGTCTCTGTGTGCTATTTATTTCACTGTTTTGCTGTAGGCTGTGCTGTCACTATGCGTGTATGGCCATGTCCCTAGCTCAATTTCAGTCACGCCAGCCATGTCAAGGGCTCATGAGCAGGAGCAACTGTACCTCCACTGCTGTGGAAAGTTCTCCAAGGCTGTCATGTTCTTGGCTTCCCAGTACACACCTTCAGCTAACCAGAGTCTACACTCAGCACAATGCGGCTTTGTCTTCAACATAGGGACCTGGAAACAGTGTGTGTGTATTCCCCAGACTATCCCTTATGGTCTTGCATTTTACTTCTGCTTAAGTTTTGGTTTTAAATGGTCAAATATTTTCTTCACAGCTTAACAGATTTTAAAAAACTTTTATATTTACTTTATACATTAGCCTATCTAGTACTGTTCATTTCTTTGTGCAAATTTGAGTTCCACCTGTAGTTGCCTTCCTTATCCTTTAATAGTTCTTATAGTTGATATCTAATGACCATAAATAATAATAATCAGCTTTTGGTTGGAAAAATGACTGGGATGATCTGGAGGTGGAGCCTTTGCCTGGCATGCTTGAGGCACTAGGTTCGAAGGAGAGTATTAGAAAAATAAATTTAGAAGGTACGGCCATCCTTATTTTTGTTGGGTATTATGTAATATGTTGCTTTCCTCTAGCTATGTGTGTTTTAATTTTTATTAAGACATGTTAGCAGTACATACTGATTACATTAATCATGGGGAGTTGGTAAATTTGCATAACACATCTCAATTTTGTTTTACTTCCCCTTTCTCTCCCTTCCTTCCCTCTCCCTCCAGCTCTTGGTCTCCTTCCTATTTGCAAAGGCCTTGCATTGTTTTCTCTGTCATTGTTTTCCATTCTTCGATGATTATGTCAGTTGGTATCATTTACTTTGGTTGTATCCAGCTTTGGCTTTATTGATTGTCTTAGTTAATTTTTGCTGAGACAAAATACC